GGAAGAAGGCCACAAGACAGGCGAATCACAAAGTCGTTTATTGAGGGAAATGAAAGTGAATATATATGTAAAAGAAAAGATCATTGGCTACCTTAGTTTCCACCAATCATATTGCATCACATCTTGCGTCATACTGCTCTTCTCTGCATTGTATCTGATTGGCTGGAACGGTGCACCAATGACGTGTATCCGGCGGCTGTGCACGTGCTACTGGCGTCATTGCTCANTAATTGGAGACGTATGCTGATGTCACCATGTGGTACGTGAATAGTTCGCATCGCATCCATCAACTCAATTTGGACTACTACCATTAATGCACAAATCGAGTGCTGCATTGAGAATTAGTTCATTGTAAGAATAAAGTGCCGTAAGAGAAGCTCGGGAACCAAAGAGCACAACACGAAATTTGAAACATTATGCCTAATTAATGAGGAATCAATTCTGATTGGAGATCACACTATCTAACGGTTTGCTCATGTGACTTGCATCTCAGTAGGAAGTTCATTTTTATGCAGTTTCGAGACAAAGTGAGAAACATAAAACTGTTTCAATACGTGTACCCAAAGCACTATTCACGTATAACGCGAGTAGACCCTCGCCACATTACTATTTAGGAGTTTCACATAACTCTGCCTAGACTTTCACCTTACATTTTCTCCTAATTACTTACTAACTACTCCAGAGACTACGCTGGTTGGGACATATGTTGCGAATGTCACTAAAACGATTGCCCCGGCACGCGATGTTTGACGCGACAGGTAGCAGATGGCAAAAAGTCAAGGGTGGTCAAACGAAGACCTGGGATGAGGGTATGAAAACCTAATCAGGACACCGGGTCATGTACGTACCGCTAGGCTCCTTGTATGGGAACTCCGAGATCATGGCAACCGGTGCTTAGACACACTGAATGATATGGCTCGGTGTCGCAAACAGCGGTGAACGTGCATTTTCTCAATATTCCTGCAACTCGAATCTAAATGAGTTCTGTATCTTTCCCTTGAAGTTGCTCCCAAAATTCTAGTCTTCTTTCTGCACTTTTATCCCAAAAGGAGTGTTGTGGTCAACAACTCACTGATTTGCTTGCCATACATGGATGTGGCCAGATTGATTGATTCATCGATTAACTGACTGTTTGAATGCTGGCTTGACAGCATTCGCATGTGGTGCAACGTGTGAGTCGGAGTCTGCCTGCCTGTCTTCCTACACGCTGATCGTTCCTACTTGTTCCCCGGCTACATATTTGCTGGTTACAATAAACTTATTGCTTCATTCGTTGTGTGCTCATTTGCCTACTAAATTTTGGATACAACATTTGACGTCGCGGCCGCTGAACCTGCAAAATGTTTGGTTTACCGTTTACCATTTGTCACTTGTGGAATGACCCTGCTCTCAAACCATCAGATGTGGCTTGGAATATATGGAAGATCACGTTTGTGGATTACGTTGCAGTTTTGCGTGCATCCAATCCTTCACTGAAACTTACAAATTAATTGTGCTTTAAATTACTACGACCGTACCTCGGTAACGAAGGCAGGCTACTTTTGACCGGATGAATTTGGATGACAAATCATTGAAGGATGTCATCGTTACATTGGACAGATACTGGGGCAAATATACGAATGAGCAAATGGATCGTTTCATATCCGACTTCGGTTACTATCCGAGTGCACCGGAGGCCCCTGAAAAGAACTCAGAAGATCCATGTAGTGTTGGGTCCCACTGCTCCCGGTATGGTATTGCATCTTTTGGAACCTTTATTTCCCTCCACTAATGCACATGTCGTGAAGTCAGTTGTACAGAAAAGTGAACTTCGTAAGATTTCCCAGTCACGAACTCAAAAAGTTTCGGCTACAACTCTGGTTAGCAAACAACTCACAACAAAGTCGAATCTGACAAACCAGTCGGTGGAAAATCGAAAAAGTGCTGAGAACGTGTGCAAAATTGATTCAAGTGGCAGCGACGGTCGTATTTCGCGTTTCGTAGTGCTGGAAAATGCCTATCAAAATCTCCCCAAAAAGGCACTTAACATTTGCCACTCGATGCGATTCCTGGCACCGAAATATGTGCAAAGGAAACCCACAATGTGCGCCCGTGTCAAGATTCACATAATCGTGCCGCAAGGTCGCAGGGAATGCACCAGACAGGAAGGATTCATCAAATTAAAAAGGAGAGGGGTGACTAGATTCGTTTCACCCTTGAAAATTGAAAACATGAACCCACCGAGAGTGACCGAAAACGGGTTTGAGTCGTTTCTCAGAATTCTACCACTCAAACCTCGCCCGGCTCAACCCGAAACTGACGATAGAAACATATATCATTTCGAGACTGTACTTCGGAGGTTGGGAAAAACGCAACAGTCTTCTGCTCGGATCAGGAAGACATTGTTTAAACTACACAAGTCATCACTATTTTATGATTTGGTGTTCTTCCCTGTGAAAAGACTAACCCTTGCTTAATTTGTGGAAGGGGAGGTGAGGTTGTGGTCGACAACTGACTGATTCGCTTGCCATACATGGATGTGGCCAGATTGATTGATTCATCGATTAACTGACTGTTTGAATGCTGGCTTGACAGCATTCGCATGTGGTGCAACGTGTGAGTCGGAGTCTGCCTGCCTGTCTTCCTACACGCTGATTGTTCCTACTTGTTCCCCGGTTTGTGCACCGGCTAGATATTTGCTGGTTACAATAAACTTACTGCTTCATTCGTTGTGCGTTCATTTGCCTACTTAATTTGAAACAAAATAGGGAGGTCAAAAGGCAGCAAGTAAAACTGACGCACGGAGGTGTGCGTTTAGTGGTTATCAAAACTGATTTGAACTGAACTGAACTTACTGGGTCGACAAATGATGCTAGCAAAGGACATTTATCCAGACACTTGCACATTGCACTTTTCAACAACATGAATTTTGATTATTGTCAAGCCTCAACCGTGTAATATTCTTAGACTTCACTCCAAGATGGCTCCTACATTTATCAAACTCCACGATTGTGTATTTTCAAATCCAATAGTGCTTAAATGCCAACGGTCAGCTTTGTATTGGCAGTAGGATGATTTTGGTACAGTCACTGCTTTCCAGTCCTGTGGTTTTAATGGCTACGGTGTATCAAGTCATAGAACAAATTTTATTATTTCTTGTCGGATGACAATTTCTTACTCATTCATCTTAACCTCCTTTTTATTTTATTTTATCCGCACAAAAACAAAGATGACCACCAAACTGAGTGTATCTCTGCTTCGACATTCTGATATTCTACCCGCGGACAAGGTATTCTACGAGGCAGGCATCCAATGTCGTGAGATAGGTTGGAATAGCATGGCATTTGTGTTTCTCAACCACTATTTGGACTTGGTCGAAGCGATTGAGAATCCGGATAGTTCAGCTGATAATCTGGACGGTTCGGACTTCCAGGTAAGCTTCAAAAGTGCTCCAGTAATCCTTTTGAGAAATGGGAGTTGATTACAATATTCTGTCGTTGAGATATACACTCAGGAGTAATTAAGTTACTTTGAACGGTAGTTTCCTAACGAACAGGCAAACGTAAGATCAAATGTGGTTCAACTACTGCGTGTTTCTGCTTTGTGCTGACCCAAAGGTCAGAAGGAAATGGTATATGCTGAGGCTCATCCTTCTGAAGAGACATCGACTACGACCGACCGTGACGCGCTTGAGAACGGGAACGCCGAGCTCGCAACACAACCAAGTTACGGCTGGTTAAACCAGAAGACTTGTGGTTGTAGACGTTTACTGAGGTACCGTGGTACGGGGAAAGTACCAGTACCGGCTAAAGAAGGTTCGCGTTAAAGCACAAAGGCGAGAGAACCAACGAGCACGATAACAAGTAAAACGGAGCGAAAGCGAAAAAGTGAAAGTTCCCCTTGTGGATGGATACAGCAGTTTTCAATCGTATTAAACAACGCACATGGCGTTGGTACTGAAGTAAAAATGTAAACGTACATTTATATTGTAGGAAAAAAAGTGGTGTCCGGCAAATATCTGCTATTGTCCGGCTTTCACCGTACAATTGGTCACGCCATTCATCTGTGGCCAATTGGAAAGCGTTTTCCCTACGGGTTATAGATCCAAACTAAGAGAACAAACAATAAAGAGATTTCAAAGGTAAATTCGTCGTGTATAGAACAAATGAAGTGTAAACTGAAAAGCTAGGAAGCACTGGACAGCTGTTTCGACCTGGTTGGGTCTCATCAGCAGCGTGAAGCCATCGATCCAACCGGGGATAGAACCCGGGACGTCACAGGCAGAACGGAAGTGTACTACCCACTTGGCCACCGGTCATCTGATCAGACCTTTTTTCAGTTTCCATTAACAGGATATAGCACGACCCATCTTTGCGAGCTTATTGTGGGCCACAGACCTCGCTCACCTCAGCAGTAGCCTCCGGATGTTGGAAAAACTTTACAGCGTGGCTAATGTCACGGTGGGCTGATTTTAGGGACCAACTGCTTTTTTTGTAAACAGGACTGATATATGTTTTTCTGCATTCTATATAGCACTTCTGAATGAGGGTTTTTTAATTTAAATGCGATGTAAGTCTTGAGGTCGACCGTCGAAGAGCATTGGACAGCTGTTTCGTCCTGTTTGGGACTCGTCAGCAGTGAGTACGTTTTTGTATCCTTATCAAGACTCGAACAGCGAACTTTCGGGTTGGGACTTCAGACCCTTACCCCTGAGCTCTACAGGGACAAAAGAAGGCGCACTGCTGACGATTGCAAAACAGGACGAAACGGCTGTCCAGTGCTCTTTGTTGGCTATCAGAAAGATTTCTATCTCATTTTAATACATTTCACTGGTGGCGAATTACCGATCACCCAAGGAGTGAAACCCGCCACCTAAGGTCATTAACAATGCCTGGTGCCTGCACAAAACCAAATGGATTTATCCAAACATTCACTCTGTAAGTCTATTCATTTAGTTTGCAGTTGTCTTGCTTCAAAATTCAGCTCGATTAGCCATTTAGCCACCATTTTAATCAGGCCAGCACGCTTGCCATATTCACATACGCAGCTTTGTAATTCTTTCTTCTCGATGTTCGCAGGTTAAACTCTCACAATATTCTATTTCATCTGCAAGAGAATGTCCTTTACATAAAAACACCGTTGAATGGTTCTTCCTATGGGGACGTCGACCTTATTTACAAGATATGGCAAATGCATCAGGTCGATTTTTATAAATTTCCTTTTTTTCTTCATGATGCTTCAATGCCCCATGCTTTTTCTCTCTTATAAAATTGTATTTTAGAAGCAAATGAGAAATTTGATGAATTTGGTCATTTACGGTAGAATAAGAGATGATAGGCTAGTGAATTGTGTTTATTTATCACTTCGATCGGTGCAGCCCGCCTTCCAGGTTGGGGCCCAAGGAATGAGGATTGTCGCTGGTTAGAGACGCTAAGAGATATGGCCCGAAATAGAAGTCAGTTGCGCGAATGCTGTACGGTCTGTCTATTTAAATCCCGTGCTTCGTAAAAACCACCAACAAAAAATTTCCAAAAGTGTTAGGTGAAACACAAAAAAATTGTTATTCCACTTATTCGTAATCTTCTATTCTGACAGTTACGTTTTTTCCCTATACTCTGCATCCCACCCACCCCCGCAATATTATATATAGATGACAGAGACGAATAGAACAGGTATGGTAAGGTAAACATTTTGTTCCTCTGTGTAGCAATTTCAGCGTTATGGGCTGTCATTGCAGTATTTTGGTCCCCAAAACTAGAGTTGGGGGTTGACCTATGGGACCTTATCCCAAAGGAATATTCTAGCCCATCAGGCAGTGAGGAGATGTTTTGTGTTCGCAAACTACTTTTATTTTCTTTTTCATTTTACTTCCTTTTATCGCATATACAAAGATACAATTTTCAGGAAGGGGGAAGCAGCCAATCAAAGGGCTGGCATTCAACACACAACGGAGAAAGTCAGGCGGTGGTGGTGGGATTCGTACACATCCCCAGGGTGATA